ACCCCATGGACTGTAGCCTGCCAGGCTCCTCTGTCCATGGGTATTCTCCAGGCAAGAATACTGGAGTGGGTTGCCATGCCCTCCTCCAGGGGATCTTCCCAACCCAGAGATGGAACCCAGGTCTCTCACATTGCAGGCAGACTCTTTACCGTCTGAACCACCAAGGAAGCCCAAGAATTCTAGAGTGGATAGCTTATCCCTTCTCCAAGGGAGCTTCCCGACCCAGGAATCAGACCGGGGTGTCCTTCATTACAGGGAGATTCTTTACCAGCTGAGCTATCAGGGAAGCCCAGCAGGCTCCTCTATCCATGACCGTAGCCCTTTTTCTTATTGGTTCTGCACATTTCTGAATATGAACTTTGTGCATGGGTTTGTTCTTCTTTCAACTTCTTGCCAGCAACTACCTGTGTAAGCATTGCCTGTGATATTTGAGTGCCTTTTGATTATCTCACTATGCTTGGTACCCAGACTCCATCATCTTGGCCCCAACACATTTGACCATCAACTGAGACAAGAACTCTGTCTTGTAGAGTGTCTGCTTGAACCACCCAGAGCCTCTTTCTTAGGGATGTTGTTTTTGAGATGCAGTAATAGAATCAGCATAGGCTTCCCTGGTGGCTCAGATGGAAAAAGAATCTGCCTGCAATGCAGAAGACCCAGGTTCGATCCTTGAGTGGACCACCAATGAGCATGTTCTTTCCCTCTTAAAAACCTTCCAGCAGCCCTGCAGGGTCATGGGGTCAACTAAATAAAGAACAGGCTCCTCGATTTGAGAGTCTAGGCCGTGATTTGGTCCCTGCCTGTGTCCCTGGCTTCATTTCTCTCCACAGAGGTCCCATTTTAATATTGTCCTTAGAGCCGCAGGAGGCTTCCTCTGTGGGTGGGCCACATCCTGTCAGTTGATCCAAAATGGCCTTTTACTCCAAAAGGCCAAGTACCAGAAAATTCCTTCTGCCTGGCTGCCTTCAAGATGGCACCTTGGCTTTTTTCTGCCTTCGCACTCTATATTTATAGATTGTGGAACTAAGTGGGTTTTGATCTTTCTTTAAATCCTGACCAAGAAATCTTCAGTTGCTTTCATATTTCCAGGAATTGTTCATATTTCCAGCAACCCAGCGTATATTTCAATGAGTAAAATCACCGGTTTTTCTGCCACTGAGGAGTAACTTAATGTTCTTGGGGAATTTGTGACTAATTAATTTCATTTGAATAATCAGCACTTATAATCATGTTAAACAGCTACAGCTTAAGCATTTTGATTTGCTTCTTAAGTAATCTTACCAGAACCTGTACAAAAATTTTCAGCCTTAATATTGACAACCTGTTCTTTAAAAAAAAAAAAAAAATGTTTATTTATATTTGCATTGGGTCCTTAGTGCTGGGGCTTTCTCTAGTTTCAACAAGTGGTCTCAGTAGTAAGCTAGCAGCTTAGTTGCTCTGCGGCATGTGGAATCTTCCTGGACCATTGATAAAACCCGTGTCTCCTGCATTGGCAGGCAGATTCTTATCATCTGTACCACCAACGAAGTCCCTTAACAACCTGTTACTTTCTTATTCAAATATGAGAGTTAGGACTTCTAGAAATTTTATAAACATCAAAAATTTTTAAATGAAAGTGGCCTGTTCAGTATGTTTCATTTGGATCATATATGGGTATGGTGTGAGGTGTAGACCTAATCTTATTTTTATCTAAATGGCTACATAGCACCATTTATTAAAAGTCTATATGTGTCCCAAAGATTTGAGATATCAGTTTTATCATATACTGAATTTCCATGTGTCTTTAGGTCTATTTCTGGACTTTCTATTCTATTCCTCTGGTCATTGGTCATCTATATGCCAGTGCCACACTGTTAATTATGGAGGCTTTGTCGTGTGTCTTAATGTCTGATGGAGCTAGTCCACCTGCTTAGGTTTTCTTTTTTAGTATCTTCCTGAATATTCTTGCATGTTTGTTTAGCCAAATAAACTTTAGTATCAATGTTCCCAACTCCATAAAATGAAGACTTTTTGGTATTTTAATGGTACTACATTAAATTTATCAGTGAGAGCTGACATCTTTATGATGCTGAGTCATCCTTTTAAGAATATGAAATGTTTTCCATTTGTCGAAGTCTACTTTTGTGTCTTTCCAGAATAATTTTTTTATGTTAATTTTGCACATTCTTGGTAGGTTTATGTCTACATGTTTAATCTTCTTAGTTGCTACTGTAAGTTGGGGTTTCACTTCAATTATTTCTAGTTATTGTTTATGTGTATGAAGGATATTGACATCTATTGGTTAATTTTATATATGGCTGCTTTGCTGAATTTTTGTACTATTTGAGTCAGTTTTATCATTGACCGTTTATTTTCTAGAACTTTCCAGTTACACTATTATATCAAGTAAAGATATAGCTTTACTTTTTTACCAAAGCTTTTGTCTCTAATTAATTTATCTTTTCAAAATGTGTCAACTAATATTGCTAACATACTATTGAATAAAAGTAAAGGTAATAGATACTCTTGCCTTGCTCCTGGTTTGACTGGAAATTCAAACCAGGAAATCTAGTATTTCCACATTAAGTAAAACAATAGCCTTAGAACAAAATTTTTTTTTCATGTTTACCAGATCAAATTTACCTGGTCGATTCCTATTTTCTCGAGTGCTGTTAATAATAATTGGTATTGAATTTTTGTCAAAGACTTCGTTCAGCCTCAATGGAGATAATTATATTTTTCCTTTGTATCTATCAGTATTGATTTCCTAATATTGAAATGACCTTAAATTAATAGAATAAATCTCAACTGCTCATGGTGTATTATTTTCTTAATGTGGTTTTGGATTGCATTTGATGATATTTTTTTCAGTCCTTTTGTAGCCATATTCTTGATTGATGCTTGATGGTCAGCAATTTTTTTTTCTACTTTCTTTGGAGTCTTTGTCAGATTTAGATATCAAAATATTCAGTTCATTAAAGGAGTTAGGATATTTTCCTTTATTTTTGTATCAGTATTTTTAACTAGTTTTCTATTTACTGCTATAACAAATCACCACAAATGTAATGCTTTAAAACAACACAAATGTGTTACCTATTTGTTGTAGAAGTCAGAAGTCCAGGGTGGACCCCACTAAGTTAAGATTGAGATGTCAGCAGGCTGCATTCATTTCTGGGGGTTCTACAGGAAGCTCCTCTTCCTTCCTGCGCCAGCTTCTAGAGGCCACCTGTAATACTCACTTTAGGGTCTCCTTCCATCTTCAAAGCCAGCAGTGGTGTTTCTCTGAAATTGCCTCTCCTGCTCCCTCCCCCACATTTAGAGATGGCCTGTGATTACTTTGGGCCCCCTGGATAATCCAGGATAATCTCCTTATTAGCTCATTAGCAACCTTAATTCCTTCTTGCTTTGCAGCATAACATAGTCAGAAGTTCTAGGGACTCGGATAGTAGACATCTTTCTGGGGAAGGAAGGCATTATTCTGCCTGCCACAATCTTCAGTGCTCTAGAGCAATTTGTAGAACACTGCAACTGTCAGATCTTTGAAGCTTTGATAGAAGACGATGGTGAAAATATCTGGGTCTGTGTTTTTGTGGGTGTGGCAGTTCTTTAATAATTGTTGCTGTATCCTCTGTGGAAATTTGCTGTTTTTAAACTTTCTCCGATGGGCTTAATTTTGGTACTCTATATTTCTTTAGAATGTTATCCATATAATAAAGGATTTTGAAATTATTTATATAGAGGCCTGTTAATGATTTTTAATTCTTTTTTCTGTTTTCTTCTTGTCATTTCTTATTTTGTTTGTATGTTCTCTCTTTTTCCTTGCTCAGGTTAGCTAGTGGTTTGCTATTTTGCTAACTTCTTACCGCTAAATCTACTGGTTTCCTGTTCTCTCCTGCATTAATTTCTGCTTTTGTCTCTACTTTTTCATTCCTAGTGCCTTTTCTTGATTTGGTTTGTTCCAGTTTTCCAGTGTTTTTCAGCTAGGTATAAAAGCCATTGATTTACATGCTTTCATTTTTCACTTATGAAAGCATTCCCTGCTATAAATTGTGTTCTCATAACTGCTTTAAATATATCCCATATTTTAGGGATTTGGCAGTTTTTAGTGGTTTTTAAAACTTTTTAAAATTTCAGTTTGTAGTTTCTCTTTCATCCAAGAGGTGTTTAATTGGAGGCTTTCAAAATTTTTCAATAGATGACCTTTTTGTTTTTAGTGTTGGTTAATGATTTATATTTTCATTTTATTGGTTAATAATCTCTTTCATTGCATTGTGATCAGAATGTTGTTTGTCTTATTTCTAATTCTTGGAACTTACCAATGTTTCTTTATGATGAGTTTTTATGAATAGTTTAAAGGCTTTTGATAAAAAGATATATTTGCTTACATTATCAAAACACAAAGTTCAGTATATATCCATAAGACCTACCTAATTGATTCTGCTCGGCTCTGCTTGTTTGTCCACTTGACATGTCTTGAACTAAGAGTGAGAAATCTGCTTCATTAAGTTGGTTACTGTGTTATTCTAAGTATAGATATTCATAAGTGTTTTATCTTTATTATAAATTTGGCTTTGGGCATTAAAAAGTACCATTCTCTGTTAATTTTAGGCTTGAATTCTTATTTGTTGACCTTCAAGATTGCTACTCCTGTTTTCATATTCCTGTAATACCTTCATCCATCTGTTTATATTTTATCTTGCTGAATCATTTTGTTTTAGCGATCTCACAAATATAGCATATAGTTGGGTCTTACCTTGTGAACTGAATTGAGGATCTTTTTCTTATCATTGGTGAAATTAGCCCACCATCCTCATTGAGACAGCTGATATGCTTGGTCTCAATTCAATCATGTTTTACAGTTATATCTGTTATGTTCTATTTGCTGTGTTTATTTTCCCAAAGCTGTTCAGTCCTTATTCAATCATTTTAAAGAATAGAATTAAGGAACATGTCATTTTTATTTTAGTGGTTGCCCTTGTACTTTCATCAGGGTTTTGTCATCTGTGGAGAGAGAGAGAGGAAAGTGGTAAGGTGGCGGTGAGAGTGCTTTCTCCCATGCTTACGTAGGAGAGATAACAATGGACAGTAGCCCCTTCAACATCTTGTACTTCTTCAAAGCTTCAGATCGAAAGAAGAGTCTAGATGGATGTCAGAGCAGTTTCTCTGTCTTTGACGTTATCTGTGCACATAGACCCAAGGATTAGTGTTGTGCAGGGATCTTAAGCCCCCGACCCCACAAATGTTAGAGCAACAGCTGTGTTGTTGCATATTAGCAGGTCTCTATGCCCTGAAGTTCTTCAACTTTAACTGGGGTGAGTCTGCTCTATCTTTTTTTAAATATTTATTTTTATTTATTTTATTTGGCTGCACCGGCTCTTAGTTGTTGCATGCTGGATCTTCAGTTGCAGCATATGGGATTTAGTTCCCTGACCAGGGATTGAACCTGGGCCCTCTGCATTGGGAGTACGGCGTGTTAGCCCCTGGGCCACCAGGGAAGTCCCTGAGTCTGCTCAGTCTTTCATGTATTTCTTCAACATGTCCTGGTACTTACTGTGTGTCTGGTGCAGTGCTAAGTGATAAGGCGCTCATGGAGCTGGTAACCTTGTTTGGGAAGATAGACAGGTCAGAAAATTGTTTCATTGCCAGAATGAGAAGGGCTACAAGGGAGGAGTGGGAGTTTCTGGGAGAACCTTAACCTGGTTGGGGTGCTGGGGGCTTGTCTTAGCAAAGTAAGAAGCCATATGCTGAGATCAGTAACACATCCCTCCCAGTCCTGCAGTGATCCCCGTCTGCCCTTGGTGAGGCTGCTGCTTCACCACGGTATGGTAAGGAGGGTCAGGGTACTGTGGCAGACACCTAGATGGTCCAAATCCTTTCATCCTCTCGCTATAATGGCCCGTCAGTCACATCACTGATTAATATTCTGCTTGTGGTCCACGGTGACCACTCTTCTTACCTAACGTTTGTCAGATAGACAGACACACTTGGCAGCTTTGCCAGCTGCATCCCATCTCGGTATCTGATTCTATCAGTTATCCAATCTTGTCTAGCTTGTTTATCCAGCTAGTAAAGATCATGTTGAATTTCACTACTCTTACAAGAATAGTCAGCTCTTCTGAATATAATGCAGAAGAGTCATCCTAGTCACTAACTTAAAAAGAAAAAAAAAAAGGTACTGTCAAAGACTAACAGATGAAAAACAAAAAAGATTGTCATACCTAAGTAGCAGCCTTCCTACTCAGCTATTACAGAAAGGTGACATTTTTATAGTTCTCTTTTGACAAGCATCTAAGAACAGAATAGTATGTATGTCATTTGTTTCTTTTTTTTATACCCTTAATATTCTAGATCCCGGTTATTACATCAGAGGTGTTTCAGAGCATCTATTGTCTGTATGCAGATAATCCTAACAATCAACTATTTCCAGTTTAAAGAATTCTGGTTTGTATTTTCCCTTTCCAGCCCGTTTTCACCTCATTGAAATCTCTAGATGGATTGTGTTTGGTAAAAACTACACATATTTTCCTAGTGGCTCTGTTTATAAAATCCAGCTCAGGAGCTCACATTTTCGATGCATGGAAAAAGGAGGAGCAGGGACAGTGGAATCAAAATAAACAGATGGTTGCCTTGACGATCTGTAAGAGGCTCTTTCATGATCGTATTTCATGGTTTTCTTTTGAAATACATAGTGAGACAGACATACAGTTTTTATCTCGTTGACTTCCTGCCAGCAGCCCCATGGCTGAGAAAACACCTCTGCCAAGAAGCCGCCACGACTGAGTCCAGTCTGGTCCTTCCCACATCACTTAAGGAGATGGTCAGGGGGACCTCGTCCCAAGGCTGGTGGCTGGTGCTCTGGGTGTGGACGAGAGTGAGGCTCAGCAAGAAGGCATGGTATTTGGGGGAAGACAAATGTAAACAATGATGATTACATGGAACAGAATGTCATGAAATCACAGAAGAGAAAATTCGCTCCAGCAGGAGGATCAGGCAGAGGAGGTGAAGTGGTGGGACTGGTCAGGTGGGTTTGAGCACAGGGAGCCTTGGGTCCCACAGGTGATTGGGGATGAGGGGTGGGTAAGGAGTTCCAAGTTCAAGGAAGACAGAGAGACAGGAATAATAAAGTTGAATATTTTAACAGTGACTTAGCCCTTGGTTTCTACTATGTCAATTTAAAGTTATTTGTACATAGTTAAAGTTATTGTACATTTGTGAATGTTCCTTGATGAAAAAAAAAAAAGAAACAGTACAGTAGAGGCTCTTGATTCAAGTTCTGAAAATGTGGGGCAACTTCATAAATGTGTTTGAATTTCGTTTTATATTTTTATATACCCACATGCCTTATCTAGATTATAACACAAATGAAATCTTGGGCTTCCCTGATGCCTCAGTGGGTAAGGAATCCACCTGCAATGCAGAAGACACAGAAGACATGGGTTCAATCCCTGTGTTGGAAAGATCCCTTGGAGAAGGGCATGGCAACCCACTCTGTATTCTTGCCTGCAAAAATCCCATGGACAGAGGAGCCTGACAAGCTACAGTCCATGGGGTCGCAGAGTCAGACACGACTGAGCACACACATACCCACATCCCTTATCCAGATTATAACACAAACTTATAATTGTGTAAGCCTTACAGAGAAAAGCCTAGTGGTAAAGACATGGCTTTGGAGTCAGATGTGAGTTCAAGACCCTGCTTCGTCATTTCACAGCCTTAGGTACACCTGACCAGATGTACAGTCTCTGAGCATCATTTTCTCATCTGCAAAATGAAGACAATAGTAGGGCTTATTTCACATTGCCTTCACATTGCCCTGTTACATGAGCTCTCTGCGTGCAAGCACAGTGCCTGGCATCTGCTAATGATCAGTTAATGTCCGTCATTAGTTATTGCTGTAAAACATTGAGTGTTTGTGAGGTTTTATCTGAGGAGGTATCCCAGTAGAACTTTCTGTAACCTTTCTAAATGTTTGTTCCTTACTCCCATGCAAAAAATATACCAGGGGTAAAAAACATCTCAAGCTTTTTATTTTTTAAAAAAATGATAGGATCTATAATTTTATTTTTATTGTATTTATTTATTTTTGGCTGTGCTGGGTCTTTGTTGCTGTGTGGGCTTTTTCTCTGCGATGAGCGAGGGCCACTCTCTAGTTGTGGTCCTGGGGCTTCTTATCGGGGTGGCTTCTCTTGTTGTGGAGCACGGGCTCTAGGGTGTGCGGGCTTCAGTAGTTGTGGCAGGTGGGCTCAGCAACTTTGCATTTCCCGGGCTCTAGAGCACAGTTTCAGTAGTTGTGCACAGGCATAGTTGCTCTGAGGCATGTGGGATCTTCCCGGATCAGGGATCAAACCTGTGTCTCCAGCATTGGCAGATGGATTCTTTACCACTGAGCCACCAGGAAAGCCCTCAAACTTTTTTAAATATTAGCAATCAAAATGTCCCAGATTTCTTCAGCCTGCGAAGAAACCTTCACAGGTTTCCTGTGAAACCTTCCTGTGAAGGAAGCCTTTACAGCTTCCTGTTGTGCCACATCAGAGTAGTCTAACCCCTCATTCTGTATGCCTTCAAGAAGTTCAACCTTTTTTTTCAGATATCCATGCACTAGGGGAACTTTTTAGAAAATTCCTAGGTCAGCCTTTGGCTTGGTCATGTTGTATAGGCCAGTTTATCTCCCCCAAAGTGAGTTTCACTGAGTATTTTTTCGCATTTAGAGGCCCCGAGAGAAGGAGCTCTCCCTGTGTCATCCTGTCCTGATTTCTTCAGTGACTTCTTCCAAGGACGTTTTGTCTGTGGGAAAGACCACTTCCTTCCAGGGAAATCTCAGCCTCTAAAGACAACAGGCAACACCAGATTGTGACGTGTAATTCCCATCCCCAGCTAGAAGGAACCAGGGTGCCTGAGGGGAGGGATGGCTGGTTCCAGATCTGTAGCAGGAAATCGCTAAGATTTTTAGATGAGCCTAGGATACAGAACTGTGTCAGAAAGCAGAGAAGGGGGACAAATGAGTTGTGTCCAAAGGACACAGGGGCCAATAAGAAGGTGCTCCCACTGGTCAGAGATGAGCATTAACTGAGCATCTAAAAAGGGTAATGAGTGCAATCGATTAAAACACATTGTGTATATTAACATAAAAATAGGAGTTTATCATGATGCTTTGAAAAAGCAAGAGAAAGCAAATTACCTCTTTGGGTACCATTAGGACCCCAAGTCTTCATTCAGAAAATTGGCACTTGAAAAGAGTGAGCATTTATCTGGTCTTTCCTGGACAACCTGTATTGCTGGGAATTGAAATCGCCCTGGTTGATGAAAAAAATTCTTCTCTTATAGAAAAATTCTAGCTAATAAATGTAAAAGGGTAGGTAGAATCACAGCATCGTGTTGTAATGCCCAGTGAAATCACTGATTCCAGTAATAATCAGTAACAAATGGGACTATCAGATGAGCCAGTGATGGGACGCTTTGTGATAAAGGAGATGAAGCCATCACATCCATACTGTAGCATCACTGAAGATGGAACCCCCAGTCGTTGCTTTCCAACAGGATACAGGATGATGCCCACGAGGCCCCATCTGAGGTGTTGCTGCCCAGATTTCACTCAGTCTAACGAACTAAATGTTATTGACAGGATTGTAGGAACAAAGAAAATGACATTGCAAGGAAACACACTGGCAAGTCCAGAATGTGGGACAGTCTATGAGCCAAGCAACCCAGTTTCTGAACAAATCAATGGCGGAGTGGGGTGGAGGGAGAAAGGAAGGGGAGGGGAGGGCACTGCTGTCAGTGCCAGAGGCAAAGAGATTTAACACCTAATACAACCTGCAGACCTAGTTTGAGCCTGATTCAAGAAAACCAACTGTAAAAGAACTTTCCTTCAGAAACCAGGAAAATGTTGTTAGAGACTCAGTATTGGATGACAAAGAAATATTGTCCGTTTTGTTCGGGATTTTAATGGCATTGTGGTTTGTAAAAATGCTCAGAATTTTCAGCAATGCATACTAAAGTATGTAGGGCTTGGCTTTAAAGTTCCTTAACCAAAAAGAAAGAAAGGAAAGGGACAAGTGAAAATAAAGTTTTAAATTTTGATAAATTTTTACTGAATCTGGGTGACGGATATATGAAGAAAATTTTAAAAGGGATCAATAAACCAGTGTGCCAAAATCTTGGTAACTGTTGAACCTGGAAATGGATATAGGAAGGTTCTTTGTATTTATCCCTCTGTTTTTGAGTATGTTTAAAAATTTTTTAACTTCTAAAAAAATAAACATGGTGTAACTCTAGGACACTGGTACATTTCTCACAAGCTGGGTTATTTGCTCTGAGACCTCATCACATGTGCCATTTGAGCAAAGCCAGTCCCCGGCCCCTTGGCACCCTCTGTGCGCAAGAAGAGAAGCTGAATCCATCTTTCTTTGGGGCAGCCTCCCCTCTCTTCCTTGTCTCCTGTGGGCACTGCTGGAGTAAGCACACTCAGATCTCACATAGGAATAAGGCGTCCTTTTCTAGGATAGTGCAATCTAAATCCTAATTTAGATGGAAACCATTTCCTTGGGTGCAGAAAGACAGTTCTACCTGAAGAAAGCCTTCTGCACATGGCTGTGGGGAGACGGTCAGCTTCTTGGAACCTCCCTGTCCTGCTGCTCTGCCCACAGTAGAGGCTTTGCTCTGTCTTCACTTGATCAGATACCGATTGTGCAAGGACTGGCTACACCTAGGGAAATGCAGGCCACCACTTTTCTTGTTTTTAATTGTGGTAAAATGCCCATGACATAACAGTTATCATTTTAACCATTTAAGCATACGGTTTAGTGGCATTTGGTACCATCACATTATGGTATAACCAATCTCCAGAACTCTTTCCATCTCAGAAAACTGATACTCTGTCCCCATTAAAGATCTCCCCATTCCTCCCTCCCCCAGCCCCTGGCAACCACCATTCTACTTTTTGTCTCTATGAATTTGACAACTCTGGCTACCTTGTATAAGTGGAATCAGACAGCATCTGTCTTTTTTGACTGCCTTCTTTCACATAGTATAAGTGGGCTTCCCTGGTGGCTTAGATGGTAAAGAATCCGCCTTCAATGCAGAATACCCAGNATGCATATGTGTGTATAGTTTTGCTTTGTAATTTATGAAAGCATTATCTCATGCAACAATGTATCACAATTCCATACGATGGACAGGTGTTGGATATCCTCTGTATATACTCTTGTATATTTGTGTATATCCTCTGCATATACTGTTGTATATTTGTGTTGTTCAGTCACTTGGTTGTGCCTGACTCTTTGCAACCCCATGAACTGCAGCATGCCAGGCTCCTCTGTCTTTCACTGTCTTCCAGAGTTTGGTCAAACTCATGTCCATTTAGTCAATCATGCTATCTAACCATCTTATCCTCTGCTGCGGCCTTCTCCTTTGGCCTTCAGTCTTTCCCAGTATCAGGGTCTTTTCCAGTGAGTCAGCTCTTTTCATCAGGTGGTCAAAGTATCGGAGCTTCAGCATCAGTCCTTCCAGTGAATATTCAGGGTTGATTTCCTTTAGGATCAACTGATTTGATCTCCTTGCTGTCCACGGGACTCTCAAGAGTCTACTCCAACTTATATATGAAAGTGTCATTGTTGAATAGAAGCCAATCTGTTGGGTCAAAGTGTATGTACATTTAAAATCTTAATATAAACAGCCGAAAGAATTAGGTCAGTTTACTCGTTAGTGTTAAAGATTTGAGCTCAGTCTTTCAAGTCTAGGGCAAACATTCTTGTCTGTTCTTATTTAATCACTGGATATCCTTGACCTCTCTACAACCAAATCTAAATAGCCTGTGCTACTTAATTAAAAACTTCTTGGAAAATCTCAAGTTAGTAAAATTATCTAATTTTAACTATTTTCTGCTTCCTGTCTTAGGCAGATTTAATGGGCAAAAATGTAATTGTATGCAGATGGTAAATTTCAGGATTGGTCCTTTGAGGTATCAGGAAGTCTAAAGTTAATTTTATAAATATATGCATCTCATTTTAAGGATTATGCAAACATTTTTAAAATATCATATCTCTTTTGAAATAAAAAAGAAAGAAAACCCTTCACTTCCACCCCCTTCCCTTTTTGATTTTCAATTGCTTGAAAAATTGCAGATTGCCCAGAAAGATCAAGTCCTCTAAGACTTTTATGCTGATATGCCCAGGAAATATGTCTGCCCCACACCCCAATTTTAATTACTTAAGCCACTTGAACAGTTTGTGACTGTCAGCCCAGACAAGTGATTTCACAATTATATTTCAAATATAAAGATTTCCTCCAATGAGGCAGAAACTGTTCCTGGCACACACATTAGAAAAGGAGCGATGGGTGGTTCCCGGCCAGGCAATGATGCCCTGAGAGGTGGGTTGCAGGGAGGAAAGGCCATCTACATCGCGTTGATAAACATTTTTAATTCTCGGGGAACACAGAAAGCCAGTACTGGAGCAGAGCCGCGTCTCTGCCAGCCCTCTGCGTGGTCCTCAGGCCGGAGCATCCCTGGACGCCCGGCTCTTTTGTGCTTCCTGCGTCCTCTCCAGGCGTGTCTGCGTCGCGCCGGGGAGGGCGGGGGCGGCGTGCCGGAGATCCCCTCCTGGAGGAGGGAGGCAGCCGCACCTGCTTGTTATGCGACTGTTGACTCGCCTCACGGGGAGGACTCCAGTGGCAAAGTGACCCTCCCCTGCGCCTGTCCCCTCCCTGCCTGGCTCCCGCCCTCGGTCTCCCCGCGGCAGGAACCTGACGCGGCCGCCCTGCGCTCCGCCTCCTCCTCCTCTCCTTCCTCGGGCTCCCGGATTCCTGAAGTTATTGGGAGAAATAAGGGGACCACATGGAAGTTGTGACAGCTCCCAGCGGCGCGCCCCTCTCTCCTGGGCATCACCTCGCCTTAGGGATTACCCGCTGACACGCTGAATGAAGGAGGTCCCCCTGCCAGCCAGCCTGCCGGGATGGGCCAGTGCTGCTGCAAGCCTTATAACTGCCTTCAGTGCCTGGACAAGACGGTACCTTGCCTCCCACACCCCCGCTCCCCTCTCCTTCCAAAGGGCCAGCCGCCTCTGGCTCTGTCCCCCCGGCATGGCATGTGTGTGTGCACTTGTGAGTGGAGCAGGATATACTGCCCTGGCTGGCAGTATACTTCCCCGTGCTGAGTCGTGAGCCTGTTACTCTGCAGAGTCTTACATAATTGTCTTTCTGCAGCCTCGGATGTAACTGTTGCATTCTCCTGAAATGTTGAGGGCTCTGCTCCAACATCTTGAAATCCAAACTGCCAAGAAATCCTTGGAATATTCTGACTGCCTTTTAATGTACCTGCGAGAGTTGAGACATTCCAGGTGGGGGGGAGGGGGAATTTAGATGAGCTAGACATGTTTCTCTTGGGCAACTGCTAACTTGGAAAGTTTGCCACTCTCTGTGACAAACAGCGTCCATCCTTGTAATTTCTGTGCTTAAGGTCAGAGAGGCAAGCCTCCCCCCACTCCCACCCCCAGTCCATTTATGCTCTCTGTACGTGTTTGCATCACGTATGGATGCAGAACACAGAGGTAAAGACTTAAGGAGCCAGAGAGTCTGAGGGTGTGTTCCAGTTTTCACTGGAAGGGAAATTCACAGCCAGGGATCGGAGACCAGAGTGTGAGCAAGCGCGGGGTGACAGCTCCAACACAAAGCCTTTCTTTGCCATTGACATTTGACTGCGAGCTTGCAGAGGGATTAGGAGATGCTTTTAATTTCACGACTAGAAATGTGCTGGCAAGAACTCTTGCCTCTGTGATATGTTTTATTATCACACATGTTTGGATTTCTCAAAGATGCATGAAATGGAATTTCGCGAGAGGGTGAAATTGCCTCCTTTCTACTTGTGGGCGTCAGTTATATAGCTTGAGGTCTAGTATGTGACCAGGTGAAGAGAAATAAACGGCTTAATATAAAACTCATTAGAAGGAGGTCACTTGGGAAAAATTGGTTACTAGTTCTGTGGGTGAACTCTGACCCAAAGTAGACTTATACACCACCTAGGAAAATTAAACTGATACATTAAAAGTCACCTGTTCCCTTCTTTTCCAGTAGAAATGACTATCTCAATGGGATTGGTTTTTGCCACCATGACTGAATTAAAGTATTTATGTAGACATTTATGTGCTTTAGACAAATAGAAATATGCAGCATTTGTACTTAGTTTTCTGTACTTCATTCCAGCATTGAAGTGATTAGGCCCTTTTTTCAAGAGAAATGGTCACCAAGTGGTTTTGAAGAAAGCCTTGTAACAGTAATAATTATAGAAGGGAAGGATCTGCTGCATGTACAGCAGTATTATAATGTTTGTATTTCTAAGCTCTGATATAAAAGTTTTAGAAATAAAAGCTGGTTAAAAGTCTTTTTCGAGAAAATATATTTTAAAGTGAGTCTGTCCTCCTTTTTTGTTTCACATCAAGTCCTTGAAAAATATTATCCCCGTGTCAGTCTTTAAATTGGAGATTTTAAGAAAGATAATTAAATGCTGTTTCTTCTCTTTAGCAATGTGATGTTTAAGTGACTTTCAAAAGTTTTAGCTTTGAAACTTCACATTTAAGGCAAGTTATTCTTTCCTAATGAAAACTTAAAAACTTGCACCGCATTTTCAACTTTCTCATTAAGCTTACAGTGACATTTCTTGATGTATCTTTGCTATATTTTAGAATGATATGCCCATTGCAGGTTTTATAGATGTTATGTCCATAGGTGTTCGTCTCAGGGATTAGGGCTTTCCATTCTTAATTTAAAATTTTGATTTATTTAGTTACCCACCTTTCAGCATAACTTCATAAATGGTATGCCAGAATTGTTAGTTTATTCAGTAGTTACCTGTTGGGGCAGGCATGATACTTCTAGGACTGTTATGGAATTCCAGCCCAATCTCAAACTCTGGAAATCAGTTTATTCTTTAAATTCCACCATAAAATCCTTTAGTCTGTTCATCAGCTCTGACAATCCCAGGATCAACATGAAAGAGACCTGATAAAATGGTGGTTGAGTTGTTTCTGATTACTTCAGCCCATCTTGTTATTGTTGTTGTTTAGTTGCTAAGTCATGTCTGATTCTTGTGACTCTCTTCGCATGAGGTGGCCAAAGTATTGGAGTTTCAGCTTCAACATCAGTCCTTCCAGTGAACACCCAGGACTGATCTCCTTTAGGATGGACTGATTGGGTCTCCTTGCAGTCCAAGGGACTCTCAAGAATCTTCTCCAACACCATAGTTCAAAAGCATCAATTTTTCGGCACTCAGTTTTCCTCACAGTCCAACTCTCACATCCATACATGACCACTGGAAAAACCATAGCCTTGACCAGATGGATCTTTGTTGGCAAAGTAATGTCTCTGCTTTTTAATATGCTATCTAGGTTGGTCATAACTTTCCATCCAAGGAGTAAGTGTCTTTTAATTTCATGGCTGCCCTTAGTCCATCTTAATAAACCTTAAAAAAATAAAAGGAACATTCCCCTCCCCCCCAGCCCCTGACCCATATTCTGTATAAATACAAAATAGAAAACTTTATTTTGTGAAGCAAAAATGCCTTTGACAGTTTGCTCCTAGGGTGGGTAAAGATGTTCTGAAACATTTTGAAACAATTAAAGAGACCTGAAAAGGTAATCAGTTTCAGAGGTGGGCTAAGAAATAATAGTCTTAAGATGATTCTTTAACATTAATTTATTGGGAGGAAGTATGGAATTTTGCCTAGAATATAAAATGCATGAAAAGTTTGTTAAATGAACAAATGGTTTTTAAAGGTTGATCATGCCTAAGTATTTTAAGTTTAAAAACACAAGTAAAAGCATCAACAGTATTTCTTACTGGTTTGCTCTGTGCCCAGTTATTTTGGGGACTAGCAAAGAATTCTTAAAAGGCACAGCCTGCCCTATGGAGTTTACCAGTTATTTGGTTCTATTTCCACCTTTTCCAGAGAAAATGCAAGTGGGGCAGGCAGCAGTAACACGTACGCAATTAAACCAGTAGAGCAAGACTGAAGTATTGTTAAGTGAAAGTTATGTGGTCCTCACCATTCCTGTTTTTGGAATCCAGTGGGAGTAGAAATCAGTGCTGGAATCAAAAGCAAGATTTCTTGGAGGAAGTGGATCATGACTTGCATGTTGAGGAATGGGGTAGAGTTTTGAGAAGGACGGTAACTCTAAGCAAAGGGAGCAGAGGTAAAGATGTTTCAGCTCACTTGGGTGAAAGGTGAGAGTCAATATTGGTACACACGAGCTCATAGGGAGTGTGGGGAATGTTTACCAGACTGAAACGCAGGCTGTTTTTTAACTTGAGTTAAGAAGAAATAGGGATCCATGTTGGGATTTGAGCAGGAAGCCAATCTGTAGAGAGACTCATTCCACAGGTATCTGGAACGGAAAGGTATGACCCGTGAAGCCCCCTGGGATGCCCAGATGGACCCCCAGGAGTCTGTCCACTGGTGTACTCAGTGTGGTCCAGGCTGAAGCCAGCAGCTCTGCACATACAGACACCTCCCAGAGCTGGTCCTTCATAGAAACGTTGAGTTACTAAGGGAAATCAACTAGATGTACAACTAGAATGCCAGCCCATTTTTTAACAATAAGAACTATAACTGACAAGCAAATGAATGATTACAAGCCTGATTAAACAGGTGATTTCTTTTCAGAGTCAAAGTCTAGCTTCATAAGAGGTAGTTGATGAGGATGGAGTCTGAACCGAGTTACCTTACTTAGGCATCCAGTGCCCTCAGGTTCCATTACCCACCCCCCACCCCCAGCCTGAGATTACCCGGAGGCTGTGTGATGTGTGACTGTCACTGGCCCTGGTGACCGCCTCTTCCAGGCTGCCATAGCTTTGCTTCTTCTGCTACATATACCCCCACCCCACCCCACCCCTCTCTTGCTGCTTCGGATACAGTCCTGTCCCTTTAGGGCTTACTTTGCATATCTCTACCCTGATGTTTTCTGTGTTGATTGTCATCTCAGAGGCTAATCTAACTTACCTTTTCTCTGAATTCTTGGGAGGGGTGTGAATTAGGGGAAGGCACCTCACTGCTTCTCCCAGCTACGCTCAGGTGATGGGACAGTAATAAATTTGGGAAGGTCATTAAAAGAAGATAGAATCCAGAAAGGTCATGAGACTTCTTCAGTGAGTCATAAATAGATGAAAAAAAAAATCATGGTTTCTGGCTAATTTTCCTTCCCTCTGCTTGCTCTGGAATCCAGAAGTTTCCAGCCTTACTCCTCTGAGTTCACAACTTTTCTCCTTGGGTCCCCTGAGTCTCTCTCCTTCCTAGCTGCTCCTTGGTAATCCACATGTTGGCTGACATCCCTCTGTTAACTCCAGCCTCTTAGGTAAGCTCGATGTTTCCCAGCTACCAATGCCCCAGCATGCATGCGTGCTCAGTCATGTCCGACTCTTTTTGACCCCATGGACTGTAGCCCATCAGGCTCCTCTGTCCATGGAATTTCCCAGGCAAGAATACTAGAGTGCAGTGCCATTTCCTCCTCCAGGGGATCTTCCTGACCCAGGGATCAAATTAGCATCTCCTGTGTCTCCTGCCCTGAGCCACCTGGGAAGCCCAATACCCCAACATGCACAAGGGCAGAGGCTGAAATGATGCATCTTGAAATTTCATCTGATTTCTTTTGAAACCAGATATGGCCTTGCTCATTTTCCACACGAGTAGACATTGACATGTATTTAAGAATATTAAACATGAATGATGCTTTCCCTTCAACTGGTCTGTATTAAATTTCATTTCCAAGTAGAAAAGCAGACATAAAATACAGTGGCCTGTGCTAATTATATGTGAAAGAAATAGTACTTATTGATTAAGTCGAAGCATGGCATCAGTGCTCCCTTAAAGCCATAATAACTTAAATGAATAAAAGGTCAGTCCACTTCCCAAAGGAATTTTCCATGTGCTGTATTACAGATCTGGCCCATCTTCACAATATTAATATTGAAAATGAATGCTGTATTCACAAAAGGCAGTATGAAAGCAACACTGAAGACT